GGGGGTGGGGGCGTGGCTAACTGGCCTAGGAAGCTTTCTAAAGGATGTGCAGTCAGGGTTCAAGGGTGAGAACGCAGGCGAATGACTGCTGCTGAAAGAATGTTCATCTGTGAGGCAACTACTGCCGTTTACAAAGTGTTCAAAGTGTTTTCTTCCTGTTTTCCAGTCCACTTTTCCAGCTGCTTGAGGTGTGGAAGCCACACTATATGCTTTTTGAGGACTTTGCTCCCTGAAATCCCGTGATCTCTTTCCTGCAGCCATGGGAGCGGGCGGTAATCAGACCCTGGGCTTTTCCTCCGCCCTTTGTTAGGGCAGTAACCAGGGGGAAACTGGCTTAGTCTGCTCTTAAGTGTCCTCCTGGATTAAAAGGTATCATCCTGGCTCTCAGCACTGGCCCCTAAAATGCGTCTTGCAGTATAAATGGATTTGCCCTGGCATCTGCTAACGTTTACCCTTCCAATTGTCAGAAAAGTTGGACTGGTTGACACGAGTGGAATTTTTCTTTTTTCTTCCGTTTGGATAAATGTGTCACGGTCCAATGTTGTGACAGATGGAAAAATCCTATGTAGGGCACGCAGGAACTACTCTGAGGGCCCGTGTGGCACGGTGGGTTGATAGGAACCCATCTCTCCTCTTAGTGAATTATTCACGTGTACTTCCGTAAAAGACCGTTCCTGTTTGCAGGTCTTGGTTGTAAAACTGGAGAGTTCACCATTCCCGGGGAGAGGTTCCCTGCAGTCTCGGACGGAAGGAGCCAGAGGCACCGCAGAAACACTTTCTCCCCCAGCGCTCTGCCCACTGAGAACAGCTCTCGGCGCGCCAAGCATGCTGCACCCGGGTTAGGACCCGGCAGGTCTCGCTGGGCCTTTGGGTGAGGGAGGGTGCAGTCTGGGCGACCAGCTCCGGGGCGCGCTCTGCCTGGTGCCACCGTCCGCCCAGCAAACTCTGGCGTGGCCACCCATATCTCCCTGAACAGAGCCGCCCTTACACCCTTTCTCCCCACGCCCCCTGCCACCACCACCCCCCCGCACACCCTGCAGTCTGATAACGGGATCCCACCCCACCACCGGGTCAGTGACCGGTCCCTGACGTTCTCCGGGGCTCACCCTGGAACCCCGTGCTCCCACTCGGCGCTCAGACCCCCACACCTCGGGCCAAGCAGAGCTCACCCTGACCTGGACTTGCTGGCCAGACCCAGGGGGCAGAGAAAGCGCAGCCTCCCCGTTCTGTCGCCAGGGCCCAGGGCGCGCGTGCGGCCGGCGGGGCGGGAGAGCGAGGGATGCCCAGGTTTCCGGCTCTCCTCGCCGCCGCGCGCGGATCCCTGCTCACTGCTATCCGCGGCGCGCCCAGGGAGCAGGAGACACGAGCAACCTTTCGCCGGTTTTTGGTGCCCTGGCGGGAGCAGCATCCACGCAGCTGGGCCCCCCGGGGCCCCCCGCGGAAGGGCCTCGAG